ATTTTTTTAAATTTAATCTCATTAGCAGAAAATAAAAATTTGCAATAAGATTAAAGATTACTAACAAAATTAATTAAATCGAAAAAATATATTTTGGATCAGTGTTTTTCTCGAGTTTATGCGTTACCAAAATTTTTATTATTTTAGCGTCTACCGCATGTTTTTCATACACCTGGTTTTGTGCAGCATTATATTTTATATTCAAAATCTGGCCGTTTGATTTTGTAACTTGATTTGTAACCGTAAATAGCTATGGCAAGAGAGTTAGCATTTTAAATGTACATTCATGAATCAAAATTAGAATTAAACAAAACAATCTTACATATAAGAGATTTTCTGATTAGAAGTTTTCTGAAAAATCCTGTACCATCCATGTTTGTTTTTGACATTATTAGTAACAACGTGACGTATCATAAGCAGTGGGTTTTAGCAACTCTATTCAACCAATTTTTTTTAGCAAATGTAAACTAACTTATGTTAAAATGCATCTAAAATAAAAATATAAATACTTAGTTATTAAACCTTTTAATTGTTACAAACATGAATACCTACTGCTACACAATTATAGTTGTGTTTACAAAATGAGTTTAAACTGTTTATAAAACTTACGAAAAAAGGTCTTGTACGAGGACATACATAACGAGAGACTAGTAACTCATATTATTTAATGCGCAAATGCGATCATCAATAATTTGTTAAACATCGAAGTCTATTGATTTGTTGGCATATAGGAAGGTAGATCGTAGCGAAAAGAGCTAGCTTTTTAAATTTAATAATATAAATTGGCGTATCAGAAATTCGTGTATTATTTACTTAATAGTCGTTTTGGTTTGAGTTGCTGCAAGAAATTGATTCTTGAAATTTCAGATTTTGAAAGAAAAACGACTGATAAGTAAATAATAAAAAAGGTTTGGATGCGTTATTTTATTCAAGGAAGTTTAAAAGAGTGAAACATTATTAGTTGCTGGTCTTGCGTTATAAATGCCCTGCTGCAAATTTATTTTTCGTAAGTTTTATAAACAGTTTAAACTCATTTTGTAAATGCTTCTATGATTATATAACAGTAGGTATTCATCTTTGTTATAATCAAGAGATTTAAAAATTAAGTAATTTTTTTATTTTAAATACATTTCGGCTTAATTTATTTACACTTGCTAAAGAAAATTAATGTAACAAAGTTGCTAAAAACCACTGCATATGTTGTGTCACGACGCTACTAATTTGATAATGCAAAAACAAACATGGGTAGTACAGAAAATTTTGGAAAACTTATATTCAGAAAATCCCCTATATTTAAAGTTGTTTTGTGTAATTCTGATTTTGATTTATGAATGTACATTTAAAATGCTAACTTTTTTGCCCTAGTTTATGGCAGTTACAAATCAAGTTAAGATATCAGACGGCCAGGATTTAAATGTAGAAGATAATGTAGCACAATAGAAGGTGCATGAAAAACAAGCGGACAACGGTATAATAATAAAAAGTTCGGTAAAGCATACCCAAGAAAAAACACTTATCCAAATTATATGTTTATGACTTTATTAGTTTTATTAGTAATCTTTAATCTAAGCTAAATGTAAACTTTTATTTTTTTCTAATGAGGTTAAATTTAAAAAAAGTTAACCTCATCTTTAAAAATTAATAGAAGTTGTTACTATAAAGTTTCCACTGCAAAATGCTTGATAATTTTTTTTTTAATTATCGAGGCATAAAAAAGTATAGTGCACGAACTTTTTTCACTAAATCCCCACTATACGAAAACGTTTTATATAGGTTTAAAACTTTATATATAGTTTTATAATATAAAAGTATAGTATAAGCAGTAAAGTATAAACATATTGAAATAGTTATAAAAATTATAAAAAATAAGACCAGATCTTTTATAACTAAATCTTATTTATAAATTTCAAGACCTTGTTAGCTCTTATTACTTAAAAAAGTTAAAAAGTATTAATGCAAATTTAAATGAAGTTATAAAACTTAAATAAACTGAAATTATGTTAACTAAATTAAAAAATTATAAGACAAGATCTAATAGTTTAATATATGCTTACTTAGACTAAATCTAAACGATTTATATACGTTAATTAGACTAGATTTAAACGTAAATTAGAGAAAATCTAAACGCTTGATATAGGTATAATAATCCTATTATAGATGTCTAAAATACGTTGGATTATGGACGTTTTATGGACGTTTGTTCTAAACTTTAATCTGGATTTCGTTTTAAACGATTAATCGAGCAAATTTGAAAATTTTGTCGAAATGTTATTTTGATGTTTTATAGACGTTTGTGTGTTTACTGGGGTTCTATTTTAACATTTTTTACATCTAAATAATCTTCAAATAATTTTTTTGCCTTAGATTTGTTTCTTCCCACCTTTCCCTTTCATTTGCTTTTACACCTTCTATTTCTAATTAGTTTTGTCTGAAAAAACTTCCATTTTCCTTAAACTTTTTTTTATATTAAGGCGTTCTGAGAAATCTTTAGTTATTTCACTACCAGATGTATTTTATTTTTTTAATGTTAACTAATTGCAGTTTTTATTCATAAACTTTTCATCTATAAGCTGTTCATAAAAATTTAAGGTTAGTTTTATTTCTTCAACATCTTATGTTGACTCGTTCGTCATTGTCGTATATATTTTTTTTAAATTTATCAAAGCGGTCATAAATTATTTTTGCACTTGAACTTGCAATAGCAAAAAAGTGTATTTCTTGTTGTTTTAAAATTTCATCAATTTCATTTTTTGTATTCACTAAACATCTACTTAAAAAATTTTAATTTTAATAATGAATTTTTAGATTGAAAACTAATTCCATTGTGTGCTTGAGACGAGAATACTTGTATTCCGTATTGAACACAAAAGTAACGACTGGAAAGAAAATCCTACAAATACCAAAATATGAATTTTTAACGAAATAGCTGGATTACATCTGGATGGTCCAGAGAATGCTCTTCCAATGTTTTCTTTAATTTGTTAGTGAAAGATGACTTACTAAACACTTTGAAGGATTGATGTAAAGATACGCTATACAAAAACAAACGTTTCACTATCCTGTTAACCAGAGAACGATGTGAGTCAAATTACTTTTTTTTAACTTCTGTGAAAAGCTTTGAGAATAATAAATTGAGCAAATTGCAAATGATTATGGATCATATCAATAAAGTAATGCCCGAAATGAAAACACAAGATAAAAATCTAAAACTTGATAGGTCAATAATGCGTGGAAGCTTAGTATCTCGTCAATATATTAGGAATAAGCGCTATAAGAATGGAACAAAATTCTATGCACTTTCTACACCCATGATGAATTAGTCATTACTGTAGAAGCTATAGAGAACGTGCTTTTAATGATGAATATAATTTAGGACTTTCTGCAGTAACTGAGTTGATTCTATTGGAACTTTATTTTAGTAAAGGCTACCATGTGTTTAGAGTCAATTACAACAACTCAGTTCCTCAAACACAATTCCTATCAATTCAAAAAACATACAACACAGAGACCCTTCGGAAGAAATTATAACCTAGAGTCAGTTAAAATGCAAAATTAAAGCAAGAAAAGGAAACTTGAAGATTAAAAAACAACATTACAGTTTGAAATCGTAGAACAAATAAGATGTGCTTGTCATATCCAACGCACACGTTCCACAAATGGTATAAGTTACCCATTGCCATGGAAAATATAAACATAAAGCAAATACATTCTGAGATTACAATAACTGTCTAGAAATAATCAATGTCTAGAAATAATTGAAGTGACCAGATGTTATCTTATCATTGCGGTCCCCAAAAAATTTTTTTGGAGACCAGATTGAAAGGATAACATCTGGTCGATAACTTAAGGTGGTACAAAATACAGGAGTGCATATCCTTGGAAAAAATTGTTAAATAATTGTTTTTATCTTTAGACAATATTTCAAAAAACTTTGTTATCTTCTAAAATTAGTAAAAAAAATACTATAAAAAAATGACTTGAAGAACAATAAGTAAAACTATCTGCAAAATAACATATGGCAAGTTTCTTTTATCGTTTGACAATTCCACAAATTGGAAAAAAAATAAAACCTACAAAAATATTAGCAATGCATAATAAATAAACATTAAGAAAATCAAAATATATTTGCGGAAACTGCGCTGACCAATTAGAGCTCTGTATTGATTATTGTTTTAGATTATATCAGCAAAAAAATAGGAGAAAGAGATGAAGTATCAACGGTTTCGAGTTATGAAAATGATATGTAATATTTATATATCATTATATATAAGTTTTATCTTTAATTCTGTATTTGTTTTATCAAATATGTTACAATATCTTACCCCTAAAAACTGTAAGAAGTTCCTATTCATTTAAATCAAAGATAAAAAAAAAATATTACGAAATATATATTTTCACGTAAAAACAAAAATGATGGATATTTACTTTAAATTTAAAAGCTAATATAGAGAATAAAAACTTCGGAATAAAAACTTATAAGTATTTAAATTTTAACGAATATACTTGTTTGAATTTAAATGCTGATTTTTATCGAAACGAGTATAATCGTTAACGTTGTTTGTACGGATTGAAAGTTTCGTTCGACGAGTATACTCGTTTTTTGTACGCAACGCGTTAGTCGATAAAAAAAAATCGTTAAAGGAAGTTTAATACTGTTACTATAGCTATTAAATGATTTTTAACAAAGGTTAGAGTATAAAATAAAGTTTTCTTAAATATATTTTTAATTAAATCATTATAACTCAGGCTATGTACTTAACCATTTTAAAACAATGACCTTAATAATGAAAAAAATAGGCTTGTTAAGCTTGTAAACTTTTTCATACCGCTGAAATGAAGTCAAATTTGTTATTAGGATATAAGTATATGATATTCAAAACAAGAATGTTTACTATGAGGGAAGTAATTAAGTTTTTCTAGTGCTTAAAGAAAAAAAATGTCTGAAAAAAACCTTTTTTTTTTAGTTTTAAAATCTTTATATCGATTTCCTATTTCAATAGTGACATGGTCAAAATGGAGTGAATGGTCAACCTATGATGAATCTTGTATCAAAACAAAAACACGCACTTGTAACAGCAATCAATGGTTAAGTTGCAGTGGACAAAACATTATGATATCAAACGAAATTTTATGTGAAGGTATGTTTTTAAATAATGTCTAACTTTACGATTATCTGCAAACACAGTTATATATATATATATATATATATATATATATATATATATATATATATATATATATTTATATATATATATATATTTATATATATATATATATATATATATATATATATATATATATATATATATATATATATATATATATATATATATATATATATATATATATATATATATATATATATATATATATATATATATATATATATATATATATATATATATATATATATATATATATATATATATATATATATATATATATATATATATATATATATATATATATATATATATATATATATATATATATATATATATATATATAATGACTCGGACATACCACGATCAGATATGGCTATATCTGATCGTGGTATGTCCGATTAATATCTGATTTTTTATAAAACGTTTACATTTTGGGCAAGCTTTTATGTTGTTTATTAGTATTTAGAATTTCCAGGTATTTTGTCTAACCAGAATCGGTTTTGTGTAATAGAGTTGGTTAACTAGTTTCCTGATTTTTTTCTTTGTCTTTAATTGTAGTGCTAAAGTGTACTTTGGAGTTTTTTACGTTTTCTATGTACGACATATTTTTTTTAACTGACGCAATGATTTACTTTAATTTTAAAACTTTTTTTTTTTCTGACTGACCCATTTTCGGTTGTTGACAAGTCTCATTAATTTGATTTTCTTTTCGCTAATCCAGGATGTCGGACAACAAGGTGCTTTCTATCAAGAAAGGATTGAATAGTTTCAAATAACTGTAGGTCATCATAAACTGTACTTCAAGCAAATTCTTCGTTTTCAAAATAATTTACGATTATTTTTTTATATTAGCTTTACTTGCAAAAAACATATGGTGCCGCTTTCGAAAGCATTCTCGTTCAGCGGCATTTAACCTCATTTTAAATAATTGTGTTTTAAATAATACATTTTATACTTTCTAAAAAGTTTATGCTTACGCATAAAACCACAAAAACATATTATTGTGCTTAAATTACTTAATTCAGATTTGTCTGATATTTTTCGTATCACCCGTTATTCTTCAAATAATTTACCATTTAAATAGTTGACTCTGAAAAATATTAGTATTAGTTGTATTTATACATAGATGAATGAATGCTTTTCATGAAGAAGTTACAGTTGTTTTGAAGATACATTGTTATAACAAATTTCTTTAGTTTTGCTTTAAATGAAACAATTTATATATTCATTCTTGAATACAGTTAAAATGAAGCAGAACAATATGCATTGTCAAATATGCAGACCAAAGTCGATAGCAGCTAAGTGACTACTTTAGCAAAAACCGCAATCAAAGTGACAACAACACTGAAAGACTTAATTTGAAAAAACAACTTCATGCTTAGCAAATGATTTTACAAATGTCGATCAACTGTTGTTTTCAAGTTAGTACAACTTTAAAAAGAGTTTTTGGTTCAATGTGATTAAGATTCTGATGCTTCTGAAAAAAAGATTCTCATTCATAGATTGATATTAATTTTGGTATTCAATATGATTATCTGAAAAAATCTATATATATTTTTGATAAGTATTTGATATTTTTGATAAGCATAGCATCCCAGCGGGCACAGCGAAGCGATAAAAACGTGCATTTCACGTTACTTTAGGCAGGTGACATTTAGGTGACTTTTTGGTCCCTATGAAATGACCAAAAAACGTGACTTATGGATGTGCTTTTCACGTTACTTTTGGTACGTGAGATTCAGGTGACTTTTTGGTTACTATGAAATGAACAAAATTGTTCATTTCTTTAAGACCATAGTCACCTAAATATCATGTACCAAAAGTACAAACGTAAAAAGCATGTCCAAAGTCACGTCTTTTGGACATTTCATAGGGACCATAAAGACACGTCCTTAATGTTTAAAAGATATTATTGTGGTATATATGCCACAATAATATATTGTTGTATTTTCTACGTACCTCTGAAACGTGCACACAGCGTGTCGTCAAAGTCATTATTTGACGACAAATATTTCTTTATTGCGATAAATATGCTTTTTACAATTACGAGTTTTTTATGGATTTGTTTACAGAAGAAATGCAAAATTCAAGGTTGAGGAAATCTTTTATTTTATAGGTACCTAATAAACAAATCGCATGGTTTCATAATAGTCAGCAAATGATTTCTTGACATTAACATTTTTTATTTTCCAAATATCTTCCTCAAGGAATAAGTAAAAAATCCAGTCATAGATTTGCGGCCGTTCCACGAGAAGCTTCAAATGTTCTCTAACGAATTAGTCGATATTTTCTCCCATACGATAACAAATATACGATACCAAGTGATGCTAAAAATGAATAAGTAAAATCTTAAATAATTATCGATTATTAAATAATTATCTTAAATAATATTTTTCTAGAAACCCTGAAACTAATTAATTAGCTTAACGGTTTTAACGACAACAAAATTATTTAAGAATTGTCAGAATCAATAGTCAAAAAACAGTGTTTTTCTGTATCAAATTGTTTGAAAACTCAACGTTATCCTAGTATTTCCAAAATATTAAAGTCGACTAAATCGTATTCCTAATATTTTATCTAATTAATAAAAACTAGATCGACTCCTGATTTTGAGTAACTAAAGATATTTTTGGCATGTTTTGTAAGAAATAATATTTTCATTATACTTTAAAAACTATTGAGATTTTGATTATTATAAAAATGGGGTCACCTTATGTGATAAGGTGTGATTAAAATACTGTTTTCTATCTTCTTTATTATATTACATCGTTCATACATTAACTCATCATGTGAAAGGTGACCGCTCACAAAATAGTTTAAAATGACCAACCTAAAAAGTGTTGAATTACATAAACTGTTTTTTCAGAATACACAGAAATATTGAAAGAAAAAATAAAACATATTTGAAAATAAATTAATCATTACCACTTACCCGTATCACATTAAAGTGGTGATTTAATATCCGAATTTTTTTTCTCCAAGATGAGATGACCACCTACCCCCCAAAATATAATTATATGCTAATGATAGAATTATATTAGAATGTATAATACAAGTGTTGTCAAATAAGTCAAAAGTAAATATTTTATTCTGCTAAGTTACTGTAGGATAACTCAGTCAAGCAATCCAGTTACTCATATATTACTTATATAAGTACCTTATTGAACCAAAAAGATTGAATAAAAAATTGAAAAAAAAACAAAAAAACAATTAGGTCAAATAGTCATAAAAAGTGGATTTCAGGTGTAAATATCTTTTATATAAAATAACTCGTTATTTATAATCTGCAGCCAATCCACGAGGAGCACGCTTTAAATGCTCTCCAATGAACCTATCTATTTCTTCCCTTGTGTTAGTTTGAGATACAAGTGCAGCTAAAAAATAAGGAACAAAATGTTAATTGGTTTTTATCAAACACATTTATTTGTCATTTTCTTTAGACTAGTTTTGTTATTTTTATGTTTTGTAAGTAAGTAAATACTGCAAAGAAAAATCTGAACATTTTTAAAACAGAAAAAATACTTACCTAGTATTGCCTTATATGACAAAGTAATCTTAAACGATTTTTTTCCTTTGTAACCCATTTTGTTAAACTGCGCCTGCACCTGTTTCTCCATCAACCCATTTATACACCTACTTGCTAGTTGCGAAGGTGACTGTCCACCCAGTTGTTTTAAACGAATAACCTAAAATATTTAAAATTGAATATTTCATTTTTTGAATGAAGATTTAAAATTATCATTGATCCATAATTTCAAATTTTGACGAGTGATTTTGCTCGATTAATGGCCAGTTTTATAAAAACCAAAATTAATAAAAAAAACATACCAGAAGAGTATACTCATTTTCATCAACCAACTTTCTATCAAACTTTTCAAATTCTTCCATGGTGTCAAACTTTGTAAGATGAAAACTTGAATCTGCTGGCTCTATTCTCCTTCCTAACCGTTCCAATGTAGTAACAATATCTGCCTGAACGGCTTTAATAGCAGCCAACTCCATAAACAATCCATACTGCATTCCTAAAAAAAAACCATTAGAATAATTTAATCAGCAATTCATACATTAGTCCAACACTTTTTGCAATCGTATCTTATAGAACAAATCATTTCTAGATTTTTAACACATATTTTTAAACAAAAATGATTTTCAAAATATGTAATGCCTAGCAGAGGTAAAAAAGAAATTAAAAAAACTTACGCCTCTGATCCATTAACTTAAACGAAGAATGCGGGTCACCATAATTTCCAAAACGACGTGTTTTGCATAATTTCCAAAACGACAAGATCCGGACTAGGCTCGCGGATCATTTCAGATGTTTCTAGTACAACACTTAAAAAGAGGTCAATAAAATTAAATGAATGGGTTATTATTTCTAGTTTTATACTAAAAAAATAATTTTCACATAGCAATGCAAATTTATCATAAAATAAGACGCAATCCAAAGAAAGAAACAAAATACAAAAACCTTGAAGAACCAAAACCGTAAAATTGAAACACTTAAAAAGACATCTACCTGCAGGAGGACACTCTGATAATTCTGAGTCTATGTTCAAGCATACATTGCACATTTCTTTAGTGCCTTTACTTAAAGAAACTTTTATTAGAGGATATTGTTGCCAATTTGGACAAGGAGAAAGCCATTTTGATATATAGTAGTGTAGGGGATGTTCTCCAACTGGAGGCCAGTACACACATTTTTCATCTTCCTCCACCCAATGAAACGGAACCATGCACTTTTTATGAAAATTATTTTCATCAAGAGTTACAACTGAATAAAGCTTTTTGATTGGGCTAAAATAAAACATTTAATCTACTATTAGCCACACACACATATCTCTCTCTCTCTCTCTCTCTCTCTCTCTCTCTCTCTCTCTCTCTATGTATATATATATATATATATATATATATATATATATATATATATATATATATATATATATATATATATATATATATATATATATATATATATATATATATATATATATATATATATACTTATGTATTAATGAATTCTATTTATTTTATAACTTAGTCTCATTTATTCTTATTTTTGAAAATTAACATTTTGTCTAGAGGAAAATAGTAATTTTCTGTCAATGGTAATAATTAATAACACACGTTTATAAAAACGAGATTAAATTTTTTTGACTGAAAATCTTCAACCATAAAACATAAATATAAAATGCTATGACTATTATCAAAAAAATATAATTGTCTTTAACTGTCTTGTATCAACATTGTGAACTAGAGCTGATATAACAAATCTATTATGTGTGGGCATGCAGACACACTTCAGCAAAATATCGTGTTTTTGCTTGACACAAGGAGTAGAAATAGCACTTTTGCATAAGAAAAATATGTCAATATCCTTTGATTGCACAAAATCAGTAAAAAAATTGTCCATAGAATGCTTCTTGAATTTAATGCAATGAAATTGATCACCAACAACGTTTTTAAAAAATACAACACTTGAGTTAGTTATAAAAACAAAGGCATTTCATCAATATTAAAAGTTAAATAAAGAGAAGTTTCTTTGATTGATTTGGAAGAAATTTGTTTTTCAATTTGTGTTTTTAAACCCAAGTATATATAGTCACCGTAACCTTCAATATTGATACTTGCAATACTTCTTTTTGTTTTTAATATTGTCCTAGAATCTAATGGTACACTTTGCTTACACTCCAAAAACAACTTTAATGCACCATAAATACAATGTCTTGTACATCTATGTGTAAGAGCCCAACAACGCAGTTTAGAACATAAGCTTTTATCATAAATTTTATTTTCATCTTCTTTATGACCATGAGAAACAGTTTCTGAAGAAAAAACATCTACTTCACTATTGCAATTGCTCAAATGACTTTTAATAAATAGAAAATCATTATCTTCTACATCATTTGAAATATCTGTAAAACTATCATCACTTTGTTCATTTCTTGTTACCTCTGAAGAACTTTGTGTAGATACAGACATCTATATAACAGCTAACCGCCTTTTCCTCCATAATGATACTGAACTAAAGACATAAACAAGATTTAAAGTTTTTAATTTTTTTCGTGCAAATTTTAAGTTTATTTTTGAAACAAAACAGCAGAAAAAATAAATATTTATAAAAAATACATAACTGAAAAATACATTAGAGCCTTAAAATATCTATGGTACAGGACAAAACAAACAGAAAATATAAAATAACTTGTCATCATCACATAAGTCACAAAAAAATACAACGAGAGTGAAAAGTCTATTTTTCTCAACATTATTCAATAACCTTATAAGTTTTAAGGTTATTGGGTCTTACTACTAGTAAGATTAATGTTAAATTTATTAGGCTACATGGACAAATGATAAGTTCTGCATAAAATATTATTGACTAGGAAGACCCAATTATATTGTTTTGTCATTGTCTAGGAACACTATTGTCTAGTAATGACTAGTAATACAAGATAATGTTATTTCTAGACAAAACGATATAATTGGGTCTTCCTAGTCAATAATATTTCATGCAGAACTTATCATTTGTCTATGCAGCCTAATAAATTTAATGTTAAATAAGTTGTAGAATAACTTATTTAGTATTAAGTAAGGTAAGCTACATAGACAAACTCGACAGTTTAAAATAATCAATAACACTATTATTAATAGGATACTATAACTAATAGGACTATTATTAATAGGATAAAAACAAGTATACCTTGTACTAGGGTTTGATCTTTTGCGTGTGGCTATATAATAATTATCTGCCATAACGTATCTACGATTTTGATTAATTTAATTTGATAACACTTAGAATCTAAGTTTTATAATAAAAAGTGTTATAATCTAAGTTAGATAATATACATAGATAATATATAAGATAAAAAATTAGATAATATATAAGATTTAGATATTATTATGTGTTGAGTTAAAATATTATACGTGACTTTTTGTTGCGTCCAAAATGCAGAGCGACGTTATATTATAAAATATTATAAAGACTGATCCTTTTTTTTTTTTAATTATTATAAAACTACAATGAAAAAAATTATGTTATCAGTAAAGTTAAGTAAAAAAAATTATAAAAATGAATATATAAACTAAATTACAAAAAATTAGTAAATATAATAAAGAATATCTTTCCAAGTTTCTAATCGCAGGTTTTTATTGCAAATAAAAAAGTTCCGAAAACAACGATATCTTGGCAACATGACTTTCACGTTTTTTTCACGTAAAATAGTCACCTGGACGAGGTCACGTAAAATACACGTGATTAAGACGTGAATAAAAAGTTGCGTGCCTACTGGGATCTTGTGTTATTTTAAAAAAGACATAAATATAATTTTATGTTTTTTTGTTAAAAGTTGAACTTTTTTACTCAAACAACACATTTATTTTTTATGATGTTGATGTTGTTTTGTAAACAGATTTAAGTTAATTTGGCTTAAAATGTTTTTATTGCACTTTAAAGCACTAATTATTATTAAAAAGTGTAATTTTTTATTACAAGAGCAATTTTTTTTTAGCATGAAATTTTTTTAATTTTAATCAGCTGAATGTGTGCTTTATGGTTGAAATGTAATAATTTAATTATAGACTCTCATATTGCTTGATATGGTGTAAATCAGTTGTAAAGCATAATGAGTTTGTATTCAAGTACAAATAAATTTTTACTTATGTACTTAATTAACAATTGTTAAATAAAGAAAGGTTTTGTAAGATCAAAAAAACCTTACATTACAAAAAAATTGCAAATGTAGGTTTAAGCAAAAGTTCCGTCTAAACCTATACAATTACACGGTTGGTTATAAAGTTAAAGCAAAAGAAAAACATTGGGTGAACTGTCATACCCTTACAAAAATTAGAGAAGCATAAACTTCCCCGCTCGCTATTGTGTGTTTGTGATGAAAGTTCATGCGCTTTTAAAATAACGTTTTCAGTGACGTTAATTAAGCGTTGTTTGTTATTTGAACGTTTGCATGGAACGTTCGAGAACAGTAAATCGGAGTTCAAAATAGTTGGTTCTCTCAACGTTTGCAGCAAATGTTACGCGAGCCTAAATGAAAGTTGCGGCAACTTTTCTTGAACGTTGTGTAATGGGAATGCATCTTGTTTTAAAATAAATAAATTTTGATTTAGCAGTTATGTTAAAATATACTCGGATATAATTTACTTTTGACAGTTTAGGGAAAAAAATAAAATGCAGCAACAACAAAAAAGACTATTAAAATAATAAAAAAAAACTTGTCAGTTTAATTTATTTTAAAATCCATAGTAACACAATTTTATAGATATTGTAGTAATTGTAATCATTTTTTAACTAGATCTTTATCTTTTATTATTTTTTAACTTTGGCTACATTTTTTGAATTGGATTCTAAAATGAATTAAAAACAAATAATTTTATCAAAAAATGTTTAAAATGTAATAAAAACTATGCAATTCGTTTTATCTAGAAATTAATGAACTGGTTATAGAGGAAGAGTTTATGCTTGTAAAAAATACCTTGATAATAACTTTGTCATCATTGGAAAAAACGTATTCAGTTTCGTTCATGATAAAACCTATGTCATATTCAGCTGTATGGGCTAGTGTTGTTCACTTAACTATAGACGAAGATAGAGATGATTTTGGGCGAAGAATTCCTGGAGTATGGTTTGCACCTGATAAATTAGGGGCTTTGGCAATAGTATCTGCAATTAATGATAATTATAATTATAATTTCTATTCTGAAATACTACCATTAAATGAGTGGTCTATTATAGAAATTTCTCAAAATGAAACCAATGGAGTATATACGTTTACGTGCTACATAAATGGCCAGCTTATTCATAGCGTTGAAAACAAAAGTCCAAAATCTTTTAAAAATGTAAAGGTTTATGTAGCTGATCCATGGTACAATGCTCAAGATGGTTCAATTAAAAAACTTAAAATTAAAAATGGTAAGGATAGTGAATTTGCTTTGTTCTTTGGTTTGTTATATTATATTTTTTTATTTGGTAAATTGTTTTTTTTTTATTAACTCTATATTTAAAACACTTTTATTCTTTATTATCTTTATAAGACTTGTCAGCTTAACTCAAATTAATTACAAGATAACTTAAAAGTAATGCCAACCTTAATTTTTCTTTAAATGTATTCTTCATTCTAGTTCTGAAATAAATAAGCTTATATAAATATATGTTAAACAAAAGTTAATGGATGAAAACAAAAAAAACATCAAAGTATATAAGTCAGATATGATAGATTCAAACCAAATTATGAATGAGTTTTTAATTAGAAAATCAGGGACTTTGAATTTAAAATTTATGTTTTTCGAACTTAATTGGACCTTTAATGTGAAAATTTATTATGAATGCGGCCGTGGTGCAGTGGTTAGAGCGCTTGCTTTAGCAGGAGACTCAGCTTCGAAACGAGATTTTCGCGTCACGGTAAGGATGGAAGCGTGAACTTCCCGGTTAAATGCACTTCCGTGGTGCTCTTCGACAAGACCGTTAGGTCTTCTTGGGGCACCTAAAAAAACAATAATAAAAACAAATAAATAAATAAAATGTAATTACTTAAAAGCATAAAAATCAACATTTTAGATTAAGATCGAAACATAGTTAATTTCCATAGGAATGTCATTAAAATGCACGAATTTGAAATAATTTTTAAGTGCACTATTTTCTGATGAAAGAATTACAAGAACATTTTAAAATTCATATATTTCAAGGTAAAAATCTGCTGATAATAGAGAATTGGTTTTTCAAAAAAATGTTAAATATTGATATATTGTCAAATATAGATCAAATACAATTGAAATAAAAAAAATAAACAAGCTTTGATGAATTAAAACAAATTAATATTTAAGAAAAAACGGTTTTAAAAGCAATGTCTAATTATGAAATTATACAGTTAACAAAATCAATAGTTCGTGTAATTCATAGCACCCAAAATTAGTTTTAATGCTCAAATTAGAATCAAAATACCATTCCTTTTATTCATCGTTAAATTAGCAGCAATATAAAAAAGCTGAGAATAATAAAAAGTGTGAATAGAACCGGAAATATTTAACAGTTGCAAGTTATTATTGAAGAAAATTGTCATGCAATACCCCAGTAGACACAAGCGTAAAAAAGACGTCTTTTTAACGTCATGTACACGTATTAGACGTCTATTAAACGTCTTTTTCAGGTCCGTTGCCTACTTGAACACGACACAATTAAAGCCCAGACATCAATAAACCGTGTTACAAATCAATTGTGTTAATCACAACACTCTTAAAAAAAGAAAACGAGCTTTACAATGGATACTCCACAAAGTTAACTAACCAAAATCAAAAGGTTTGAGCTGAGACAAGGAATATTATTCTCTTTTCAGAAACAATTAGTGTAACTACATTATGTTGTTACAAGGGATAAGTTGATGTTTTACTTAAAAATAAAACATTCACAAGTCATATTTATGAAAAAACATTATACTGTTTTCAACATTTTAAAAACACCTGAATTTACAAACGCTTTTTTACACGCATTAATTTTACTGTTACTAATTAAATAAAAATTAAATTACAAAAAATATCATTTTTTTGCTCAATCATCAACAATGATTTTATGCATTTCCTTTTTATATAAAAGAGTAATATCACAATCAATTGTATTAATTATATGATTTTGTATAGGTTTTTCTACAACAACTTCAATTTTACTGTCTACAATAACACCAACAACTTCGATTGAAGTTAAACTCAATACATTGATGCCATCTCCAAGTTTATTGAATTCTTTTGTTTTTACACCAATATATTCACCTACAGAAGATTTTAGCAGCATTATTGCAGAAAGTATGTGTTATACTTATATATATATATATATATATATATATATATATATATATATATATATATATATATATATATATATATATATATATATATATATATGTATCTATATATATATATATATATATATATATATATATATATATATATATATATATATATATATATATATATATATATATATATATATATATATATATATTTATATATATTAAAAATTTAAACAAAAAACGTACAAAATTTTATTAGGAATTTAAGTTTTATGACACTCGGCAATCATTCAGCCGATTATTTAATATCATTAACATAAAAACTGTTATAAAACTGTTATACACAAAATAGCGTTGCAACAAGATCAAACTATAGTTTTTAGACTAAATGGGAATTTAATTAACTGGTGTCGAAATTTGATAAATTACATGCTAAAACCTATTAACTTTTTTTTATTTAACAAAGTTTCTTTATTGTATGTCAAATAAAATACGTCTCATTTATGCAAAGGTTACACCTTTTTAGGGATGGGCTATAGGGTTGACTTTTTTTATAAATAATCTACTTAACTGTCGGACTTCATTAAGGTTTCTTTGTAAATAGGACCAAAGTTATAAAAAAAAAAAATGGCTAGAGGAGTTTGATGACAATCTTTGTTTAATAGAGGTTGGCAGCTGCTTTAAATACTTGTTGGATGATTAGAGCTGGCATGGATATAATTTAATAAAGTTTCAGGTTAATGGTAAGGTTTCAGGCTGCAGTCACTAAGATTTGATGCAGTATCAAGATAATTCACTATTTTTATGTTAAATTGAACAGAAATATTAAGGCTGTTGCTTTTAAATATCTGAGTTATATGCTTTTTAACTTTTTCTTATTTGTGGACCGCTAGCGTTTTAAATTACGGCCAACTCATCATCTCAACACAGTCCAAAATCAAACTGATAAATTTCAAAAAGAAGAAAAATTCCAACCAACTCACATGTCATCAGTTTATTGTATTCATTTTTAGGCAGTTTATATTAGTTTGAAGTCTTATCTGTTAATTGGGTTTCCATAATGACGTCTTATCTGTTATACGGGTCTTTGTAAGTCAATTCTACACCGACTTTTTTATGCTTCTGTTTTTATACTGTTTTTTCAATTTTGTCATATACGTTTATTGCAAAAAATAAATATTTCAAAAAAATTTTTCAATTTTAAAATAACATTTTTAAAATTTCTAATGTTGTACATTTACTAGCATTCCTGTGTAGCGTTTTTAAATTACTGCGTTGAAATTTTACTGCGCGGAAGTCTTCAACCGTTCAAACTTCCTTTGCGATAAAATAATAACGTTAAAATTTTACTGAGACAGTAATTTTTTTAATGTTATGATTTTACTGCGCTCTACTGCCATCAAGTAAAGTGATTTTCCCTTTGTGCGACAAAATCTAATCTTAGAATAAATGGTATAGCCTAGCGATCCATAAACCAATTCTGTAGAGTTTTAATACAAAAAGTTGATTTACGTTTTTTTAAGTTGTAAAGAATATGCAACCCTGAGAAAATTATTAAAGTTTTTATAACAAACAACATGTAAAACACCTGATATACGAACATAATTTTAGTTCAGTATAAACATAATTTCATTTACAAATCTTTTAGTGACAAAACAACATTATAATGATTGTTTTTATTTTCTATAAGAATACTATGAGCTGTTAGTTGGTCGAGTTTCATGGATGCTTGATATTTGAACCATGCTAGTTTTTGTCCAATGAAGGACCATACAGCAATGTCAACTCTAATAATATTTGCAGTACCAAAGATCTGAACATCTGTAGCCCGTATACTATCTATGGCCATACCACTTTTGGTGATGTAGTTTTCCACATCATCGCCTAAATATTCGGACTAAAAACTGAAACAAGGCTTTGAAACTATATGTTTAACAACATCATCGCAAACACGTGTATATTGACACTCAGAACCTGTCAGCCAAACAAAATTGCTTGAAACTATTGCCATCACCTTTGCAAACATGTATTTTTGAAAGTACATTATTTTCTTCCTCATCAAAAAGATCTGGCAATATAAATATTTTAAGTCCTTGTTCTTTAGCTTTGTTTTGGATATTTTCTTTGGTGGGATGTTTCATTAATTTGGAAGTACGTTAACTTTTATCCTGATTGTTGCATTCAGAAGTTAAACTATTCACTTTTAAATTACTTTTCTCTTCAACAAATGGTTTAACATGATGTAGGGAGTAGTTTTTCTTTATTGTGTATTTCCAAATTAATGAAATATCCCACCAAAGAAATTCTTCAAAAAACAGCTGAAGAACAAGGACTTAAAATATTTAAACTCCCAGATCTTTTTGATGGAGAAGAAAATGGTGTACTTTATGTTTCTAAGTAACATGTCGAATTTGACCAAAATATTAACGATCTCATATGGACCCAGCCATTGAATCGTGCATTTTAACACGTAAAGCAAAAAGGATTCCATCTATAACTAAGGCCCAACTTTTAACATTTTCATTTAAAACCTAAACAATTGCTTTCTTAATTGTCTGGTTCTGTTTCTCTACAAGGCCATTGGCTTGTGGATGGTAAGCAGAGGTTACACGTTGCTGAACCCCCTCATATCATGTAGTGCAATGGATACTGAGTTTATAAATTGACAATCTTGGTCATTAATTTGTATTTGAAAACAACCATGCCTGCAAATAACTCTATAAAGAAAGGTTGCTACTGATACTGCTCATTTGTCAATTAGAGGTTCAGCTTCAGTCTAGTTAGAAACATAATCTATAAGGACAATTACATAATTTAATTCATTTAATTCAGTTAATTTAATTAAATCTACACAAACTTGTTTCATAACTTGTTGTTCTACTTTAACCGTTTTTAAAGCAGGAAACACTTTTAGGTTTCTATTAGAGGTTTTTTGGCATCGTTCACATTGAGCTACATGTTTGGTGATATATTCTCCAAGATTTAATGCCAAAAAAATCTTAAAGAAATTTGTTTTCTCACAGCATTAATTTATAAGTGGCTAGCAAATGCAACAGCATTCTCAGAACTACCGTAACCCTCATGGACTTTTTTAACAATGTTTAACTGTTCTTCCTAATCTATTAAAAAAATATTTGTATGAAATTTTTACATTATTTTGAGTTGTTTTAAAGCAATATATTTTCGAATTTTTAAAAAATGTAGTGTTAATTCAAATAATGCACAACACAGAATTTGTTTAATTACTTTATTTTATTCAAGTAAAACCTTTTAATTTAAATAAAAACTTCTTTTATAAGAACAAGTTTTCCTTACCTCGCCAATACCTTTTTTGCAATACATCATCTTATTGTCAACAATAACAAAGTTTTTACACTGCCGTTTTAAATTTGCTTCTTTTCTTTTTTCCTTTACATCTTCAGGAAAAGCTTTGTCATTTAAATAATTCTTGACATCAATAAAGTTAATATTTTTGTACATCTAGACAAAATAAGCTATATAAATTGTAAACTAAAAAGCCAGTAAAACTATAACGAGTGAAGTAAAATTTTAACGCTAAAATATTACTGCCTCAGTATAATCATTTTACCGCAAAGGAAGTTTGAGCGGTTAAAAACTTCCGCGCAGTAAAATTTTAACGCAGTAATTTAAAAACGCTACACCGGACCCGTAAAATGCTGGTCTTGGTAAGTCTATTACACATTGATCCTTTTTAAACTTTAAACTTACTTCAAATTTTTTTAGTAAGCAGTAGAAAAGAATACATTATTATCCTATATAGATATGAATAAAATAATAACTTCTAATAACTTTTTTAGTCGTTGCGCTAACCGCCAATTAGTGGTAGAAAATAAATCTGTCAGCTCTTTGTTTTAAATTCACAGTTAATGCTCAATATTTTATAACTTTTTATTGTAATATTATAAATTCCTATAAAACAACGGGTACACACTTATTTATATTTTGTCTTTATTAAGTTTCTATTAAGTTTTGTTATATTGTTTTGCAGACCATCCGAAGCTTGTAAGGAAACTCCCTCTGTTTTTAATTTTGAAAAAAATAAATGTTTGATTGTTAAATCTTTTTTCCAAATAAATGCTTTAAACAAAAGTTATTTTGCTGCAATACAATTTTTATATGAAAGTAAAACTTTATAAAAATAAAAAATATCTATTGAACTTAAAAAGGTTGCCGCAAATTAAGTTAAAAGTAAAAGTAAAACTGTAAAACTTGATATATGTTTTAACACTATATAATTTAAAGTTTACAGAAATTAGATATTTGCTTACATTTTTGTTCAGATTTTATGATACAAATAGTCCTGCGTGTTTTTCTCGCCATTAACTCGGGTGTTATGGCTGCCGTGATCAAACACACTCGAATGAGCACTGATATTAAGTTCCTTATCATATTACATTATAATAAGGAACTTTTTAAATTTCATCCGAGCGTCTTAGCGAGAAAGGTATTAGCGAAAAAGAGCAGTAGCTCTTTTTTTGTAGGAAAAGTCAACGAAAATGTATCTTATTTACAAAAAATATTGAAAACATACAAAAAAATTTATATCTAGTTTCAAAGTTGTACTTTCTTTTGAATAATGAATTGTGGCAGCACTTTCGTAAGATTTGATTTGTAGCACTAAATTCCGTTTTTTTGTTCTTTTATTTTTAATATTTTATTTCTTATATAGTTTTAAAATTTCTTAAAAATATGCCTGCGTGGCCGAGTGCTTATCACGCAGAACTCCTAATGCAGAAAGTTGAGGTTCGGTTCCTATTACCGGCTTTTTTGTTTTTGTTTTTTTATTTAATTAATAAATAAATTAATAAAAAACAAAACGCCGATGCATTTTAGATATGCACGCAGCAATTTTTTTGTTTTTCTTATTGAACTTTTATAAACTTCCTAAATATGTTTTAATTTTCTTTTATCATTATCGTAAATGATATAATTATGAAGTACACTTCAATTTGTATATGGTACGTATTTTTTACATTTTTAAATCTATTTTTG